ATTAGTGTTCCCTGAACCTGAAATCAGGAAGATAATTACATGCAAACCAACCTCAATGCACATGGCACAAACCCTGTGCCGTGGATTTAATAGGAGAGTGATGAGGGACACGGACGAGCCACAGATGTCCATCCTGGCTGCCACATTCATCTTGAACTTGATCATCAGAAAACCGACTTCTGGCCTCCTCCGATTTCCTGCCCACCCCATTCTGTGTCTTCAATATGCCTTTTCACTGTAAACATCTATAAACATCATTTTCACTATAAACATATCTTGAACTAGTTGTATTCCTGTCTTTCACCAGAATGCAGGTCATTTCATATTGATCTATGCCTCTATTCCCCTCCACGTCTGAACTCGCACTAGACGGAAAGAGCACTTGAGAATATGCCTGGTTAAGAGAGACCACGAAGCTTTATAGCAACATTGAATAAAAATTAAAGTTTATAAGAGGTAGAACTATAAAATGTAGTTACAAAAAAGGCATGAGTAAAATGACAATAATATAGTTTTTATTGAAATAAAAACCATCTAGAGACAAGTGGAAAAAATAATTTATTGCAGATTCTTTTACACATTAACATGGAATGTTTATACATACACTGATGTGCTGATATGAATACTAAATATAGAGACCAACACATTTTACACAAAAGTAGTTGTATTTTATATTTTATAAAGGTAGAGATTAATAAATTATCAGAGACATTTAAGAACAGCAGGCCGATTATTCCAAGAGGAATGCATTCTTTGTCCAAATTAACCCTTCTGAACATGACACCTAGAATATAGTCACAACTTTTTGAGCTAAAGCAAGAGAAGCTCATTTCTGGGAATAAAAGACTGGAACGGCTCTGATTAAGAGGTGCCCGGAGGGCTCCTTCAGATCTGGTGAGATGCACCTTCAGGTATCCGCAGCTATGAAAGCAGCTCAATGTGAAACAGGGCAGCTTCCCATGACCACCGCATGTGGCTAATGAAATTTAATACAAAGGCTAAAATACAAGTCATAGCATTGCTAAGCAATTACAATCGCCATATGATTTGAATGAGCAACCAAATAGCTTAATAACAGAAATGCTTTCTGTATTTCTGAAGGGAAATTAGTATACTTCAAAATAGTCACTATTTTCTTAGCATGGTATATTAAGTCTTATTTTGGAAGTCTGAAAATAAATTACATTCTTTTTCCTAAAACTTAGAATTTCCTCCTTTAGAAAATGATTTCTACAATGATATACAGCAACACGATATAAACTTTGTTACGAGTTATAGTCATTAAAATATACATATAGATGGAGCACAAAATGAGGCTTGGTTAACCATGATCTATGTATACACAGCCAAATACTGTTCAGCTTCATGTCATTAAATTCGACAGATAGTTATGGGTGCCTGCTGCTTGCAAGTTACCATGTGGGTAGAACTTGTAACAGCTTTTACGACACGTGAAGTTCACATCATCCACATCTAAAGCCAAACTTCAGATCACATATTAAACTTTGAAAATAATCAAAAGCAGAGCTAGAGCTGAATAATGAGGAGTGAGAGATATACCCAAAGAAAGGCTAGAGAAACTGGAAAGGGCAAGGCAAGATTCGAGTCCGCAGGGAGTAACTGTCCTTGGCTTGGCCTGGGCGACTGGGTAGCTGGAAGCAAACTGTAGGCCTCTTCGCCTCACCACCTAGATTCAGTCCTCGTCCTGCTTTGTTTCCTTAAACAAGTGGAAGACACAGGATTACTTTTCAATGGAAATAAAGTGTGTGGTACCCCCTCCCCAAATTTTCCCTAGTGGAGAGTAATCAGCTTTCACAGCCACAGTCTTGCGAAGGCATGTGTCCCCGACATTATTCTGGATGAAACAGGCCACTCAACTAAACGAGCTGTCGTTCAGTTGCAGTTAAATTTATCAGATGAACAACAGCAAGCGGGCCAACCCCATAAGTAAATAACTTAAAGTAAAAATGGCTGAAAGAAGCTAAAAATAAAGATTTTCTAACTTGGCACTCACTGCCTTTAGGATTTGTTATAATTTAAAAGCATCTTTAGGGAGTGTACATATAGAGGAAAGATGTGCATAACCCTGTGATGTCACCTGCTCTGCAGAGCCAGTTCATCAACATGGGAACGAAAAGTCAAACTTGTGGTGGGGGTTGGTTGGGGGGAACAGGGCATGGCCTTGATCTGCACGAGAACCCCAGGATTCTAGTTGGAACCCCAGTATTTTAGAGGTCTTGGTAACAGGGCTTCTGGCTGCACAGAATGAGCATGTGAATTCTGGAAAATAGCTTGAGGCAGACCGGGATTTCCAAAGCTCCCCGAGCTCCCCACTGGGAGATAACTGGCCCATCGGAGAATATGTGTCTCCATGGCTAAGAGAGCACCCATGGGCTGAAGTCCTGACTTGGCTCTGATGGTGATTTCAGAAGGGTGCAGGGGCTGAGGGGAGCGGCCAGGGGACCTTCCGCCCCCCAATTCCCATCACTGTAGTGGTGTCCGAGTGCCTTACCAAACAAGGACAATCACAATAAAACAGGACTTTTCCATCTGATGCTTTTGGCTTTAATTTCAGAGAGGACTAAAGCTGACCACATAAAGTATCCCCTAAGAAGTTTTTATTGTCCTAACTGGCTCATTAATGTTTCAGTATTTTTGTTGCCTTACTTAAGAGTTCATGTCTGTGTGTAAGAATTCTTTTCAAATGCAATATATTTTCTGTAAATATGTTCCTCATATTTATATGCACTCTTAAAAAAATTTCTTTCTGATGAATCATACCTCTGTTCCTGTATTTTTTCTGGAAAGAAACCAAACTTGCATCGGTTCCTTTTTGCCCTTCATGGACACTGGGCCTCTGTGCTCCAGATGGAATTGAGGATCTGAATTTTCTGGTGTCATCAGGCACCTGAGAGACAGGACACAGGGAGCTGAGAGAGAAGCACGGGGTGCAATGAACGGAGCGTGGGGAAGCCCTAAAGTTACCACCCCAGACAATACGGACACACAGGACATCATTGTGTTTAAAGGAAACTGAAGCTTTTGTTGATGGCGAATGTTAGGACTTCCTAAGATGGCACAGAAACTTTCCAAGCAGCAATAATAACATCGCCCCTTCTTACAAATCAAAACCAAACTATCCCGAGAGCCGAGGGGCTGCCGTTTCAAGGTAATAAAATCACTTGGAGTTGAGCCACATGCAAAGAGACATTTTTCTTGCAAATCACCCAAGTCAATACCTGTTGTCTTACCTGTATGTATATTCAGACACGTTTATTTTCCCCTTTTCTCCAGTGGTTTCTGTTCTGCTTGTGAGGTTGACAGTATTTCCAAAAAGACAGTATCGAGGCATCCTCTGCCCAATGACCCCTGTAACTACCTCACCAGTGTGGATTCCTATGGTTATCTACAAAATCAAAATGTTGCCTTCATCACTTCAATTTCTAACACACTAATTTTTGCTTACTTTATATTCCAGAATAATGTAGTGTCATCATATAAAAATCTTAAGAATCCTCTAGGAGAATTCCAAGTACATTACAAACAAAACCCCTCACATGTTCTGTCATCCAAGAGAAACATTCCTTTTCCAAAGTCCAAAGATTTTCAAAGATGTGAATCTGGCAACTTTCATGAAACACAGGAAAGTGATTCAAAAATAAATAAATAAACCAGAGGGACAGACATTTTGTCTCCTTATTACTTTCAGTTCATGGGCGAGACTAGGTAATTGCAGACAGATAGACAGATTTCCCGAGTCTCTGTAACTCAACTGGGTTCAATAAGATGGTAGTTTTATTGTCAAGATGCCCCTTTCTGTACATAATTTATGATTATTTGGTCAAGACAATGAATCAGCTGTTGACAAGGGTCTCTCCACACTACTGTGTTACCCATTTTACTTACTAACCTGAACAGGCTCGCCGTCCACTTGAACCTGCCCAGCAATTTCCATCATGTCCAAGGCCAGGCGGCAAATGGACCGGGCATGGTGGATGCAGGGCTCGGGAAGGCCACTCACCGTCATATACTTATCACCGACAGTCTCCACCTGTCACAACACATGTGTTTAGGCATTTGTGGTTAGCATAAACTAGGTTCATCTGCGATCCTAGTTAAAAAAAAAAAATCTTTTCAAAGGTTATCAGTGTCAGCAATGTTGAACTTCCCTCTTTCTTACAATTCTAACATGCATAATCCATAACCCAAACAGGAGGTACCTTGCCATTATCTGACATTTACACACCTGGCACTCAGGCCCTTTGGATTTTCCTTCTGGAGATCCTAACTTTTCAGACACTCTCATAATTCAGCAGAACAATTTATTACTTTATTTCCCTTAAAAAAGTGATGGCTTGATAGAGGCACTGCTTGAAAACTGGTGATTTATCATAGCCATTAACCATTTATTTTTATGATGTGCTCACCAAGTGTTACAGTATTCCTGGGAAAACAACTATAAAATAAATAGTTCCTGGGGCACTTATATTACTCCAGATGCCTGAGGTGGTTTAGTTAACATTCTTGGCTTTACGAAGCAATATTCCACTGACTTCATTTTTCCAATAGGATACTTGTTGCTAATTGAAACAAAGGACAGAAATGTCCTATAAATATTTATCTTCTAAGTGAAGTTACCTAAAAGCGAGTCTGAGCCCTGGTACCCTTCTCAGGCCCGTGACTCCTGCCCAGGCCAACCTCCCTATATTCCGGTCAGCCTGTCTCCTGCACCGCGTGCAGAGACCAAGGCCATGTTTACACCACGTGTGATAAACAACCTGCATGGGCTTGTTAATGGAAGTGCAAAAAATAGCTGGACTTTACAGTGTCACCAGAGTCATCTGCTCCATTCATTTTGGCTACAAAGAAGAGAAAGTTTTAAAACAACTTATATAACAGAGGCGCTGCCGTCTAAAGCCGGTCCAGCGAGGCTTCTGTCGCCAAGACTGCAGTCAGGGCTGCGCTGCAGCGCCCCCTGGCGGGCCAGGAAATCCAGACCTCTGCACCCTGCGCTGCGCTGGCACAGCAAGGACTTGCCTTATAAACAAAGGGGTTTTTCCGGGAATCCGTGAGTGTATCGAATCTAGTGTAGAGGTCGTTGAGAAGGTTCACGATCTTCATGGCCCCTTCCCCGGAGGCGTGCTTGCTGCAGAAGGCGTTGAAGCCCACAATGCCGCTGAAGAGGATGGTGACGTTGTCGTACCTTTTGGCAGGCACTGGGCGCTTGTGCCTCAGCTCGTTGGCCACGGAGGGAGGAAGCACGGAATAGAGCAGTCTGTTAGGAAAGTCAGGGTCAGGGTCAGAACTTGGGGGGGGGGGGTGAGTAGCATAGCTGCCTGTGTTGCCTGTTTAGGGCGTGGCACATCAATGTCACTTGCATCCTACAGACCTGGATTATGACAGTCCCCTTCTAAAAGGAGCATCCGATATAAGCCATTTAGAAATAAGGTATAGGGACCTCCCTGGTGGCACAACCGGTGAGAATCCTGCACTGCAAGCTGGCCACAACCGCCTCAGTGAGAGTTCGCTCAGATCCCTGCCCGGGAGCTGACCCACATGGGCTCAGACCTCTCCTGACCCGCCTGCTGCTCCCCTCAGCAGTTACTTGTCAATCTGCCTGTTCTGCTCCCCGCTCTGTCTCTGGTGGATCCTCTCACCACCCCTGCATCTCTGGCCTGTACTCCAGTTCTGTATGCATAAATAAATAAAACTTTAAAAAGAAAAAGAAGGATATAGGAAATATAAACCTGATTTTGTTTGGGTGTATTTTTTTATCGAAGTAATGTTGGTTTATGTTTCTATTTTGGAAGTTCAGGACACCCTGTTCTGGTGCTGCCACTAAGGCAGATCAGTTCAATTCCCTAGAGAGAGCTTATTTTTTTGAATATTAAAAATGAATGCACAAGAACCCGTGTAAAATCTCTGATAAATGTTAGAGATTAGTGCTTTTTATCCTTACATTCAGGTAAGGCCAGGTAATTTGCAGTATCCATTTGTTTGAATGGGTTACTGAAAATGAAAATGAAATACCATTCTTGGAAAACTTAGTTTTAAATTTCAGTCTTTATGTTACTGAATATCATTATAGATGTAATTCTTGTTACTATAGATGACATTATAATCTGTAAGTCATAGCTATCAAGCCCTAAAATAACTTGGTGTTCTAGAAGTCTTTTTACTTATTTTTTTAAAGATTTAGTTTTATTTACTCATGCATACAAGATTTGGGTACAGGTCAGAGATGTAGAGATGTGGGAAGGTGAGAAGAGTCACCAGAGACAGAGTGGAGAGCAGAACAAGCAGATTGACTGAAATACACTTGGGGAGCCATGGTTGAGACAGAAGTCTGCTGTGTCACGTAGGTCAGCTTCCCTGGCTGAGGATTGAACCAGTGGCTGGTGATAACTTGATAGCACTGACACTTAACCCCTGGGCCAACAGGGAGGCCCAGGAAGTCTTTTTAAATATATCAGCCAATTCTAAGTTCTAAGTTCACTGTAACCCTCAGCACCTGGTGGATTCTTGGAACATACAGGATGCTCAAAACAAACCTCTTATGTGAATAAGTGAATGGGCTTTAAATAAGCATTTGAATCATCCTAAACATTTTCGTAGAGATGTTTTGGCTTAGGGCCTTCAACTTGGCTGCTATAAACAGAAGACATACTCCCTCTATCATTAAGACTGGCTTATACTTGAATGTACCATTCCTTCTGAGTATGGGGAAGAGTTCCCTACTCCCCCAGAGTTGCAATAGGTCCCTTGCTTTTTTACTCCCGCTGTCTATAGGAACTACATATAGTCTCCATCTACTATGTCCTCCTTTAACCGCTAGATGTGGTCTTACGTGTCTGTCTTTTTCTTTTCATCTTCCAGGGCTCTTAACGTGAGCTGCAGCCTGTCCGTAAGGATCTCCAGTTCTTGGGTGAGTTTGTATTCCTCTCTGAATTGTTCACCCAAAAGAACAAGATCACGTGTGGCATCATGGAGAGGGATGTCACTGAGATAGAGACCTCTCCTTGTCAAATCATCCAGGTTCATCACACTGTATACAGCAAAAGGAGGCAGAATCAGTCCCTGTGTGACCACATGGAGACACCAACCTCTGTAAAGTGTAGTGCAGACATGTCCTGGCATTCACAAGGTTCAACTGAGCAAGAAAAAAATGGAAAACTGGAGGAAGGAATTAGCTTCATTCATTGAAATATTTAAAAATCTATCAAAGAGCGTGAACCTCTAATGCTTTTTATCATACGGCATTTTTTGATGTCATCAACCTAACTTGCTACATAATGTAAGAAACTGTGCTAACAAAACTGCTCAGGAATATAACATGAGATTGTTATTATTGTTGCCATATGTTTTCCTCTTTCTAGAAATGAAAAAAAGAGATCTTAACTATTTTTAACAGAGAAAACAGTTTTTTTTTTATTTGAGAAACTAGATCATCTTTGCCTTTTAGAGTCTAAGAAGGACCACTCTTGACATAGTTGTTTTCCTTTTAGATAGAATAATTAAAATTTACAACCAGATTTATGAATTATCTTCAACATGTATTTCATATATTTGTGACTCTCTGAAATGTATTTTATGAGCTATTCTTATTTCTGGGTCTAATTCCTCCACTAATTATATTTTCTTTGATTAATTTTCCTCATTTATTTGAAACATTATTTAATCATACTAGAATTTACGCACCATTGTAACACTTTTTAGAACAAAATGATGTTTATTGATTCAGTGAAAATTTAGTAAATGAAAAGTTAACTGTTTTTAGATTTTTTTTTTTATTAAACTATCCTAAGGTTATATTATTGGTTTAAATTCTTTAAATGCAAAGTAATTATTGTGGTCTTTCACAATAATAATTCATCTAAAAGTAAGTAATTGTGTTATATCTTTGTTTTCTCAAATGGGTTACAAAATAGACAAATATTTTGTTATGCAAAATGATAAATACACAAAATATCATCTGGCAAGTTTCATAGCTATCTTTTTATACTTTTCTAAAGCAGATTTAAATTTAGTTTTCTTATTCTGAATTTCTAAGTATCTTTTATTAAAGTTCTTTGTCACATGGGGAAAACCTCGGCCTATAATTTTACTTCCCTCTGATAATTTGTACTAAAAACATAATTTATTTAAATTTCTAGGTAAAAATATATTTTGGAAGATCAGCTAAATACTCTGAGTTTAATATACTATCTGCTAAGCATAGTATCTGAGCTCAAACTCAGAAATAATTAGAATAGTTATTCCTTGGTGCCTAATATAATTGCTTTTCTACATGATAGCTCCTTGGAAGGTAAAAGATAAGGAATTAACTAAAGGCAGCTTAGGCTTCTGCAATCTAATGGCATAAACAATGAACAAATTGATTAAAAGTAGAATAAATGGTTTCTTCTGAGTTTATTACAAATGTCAAATGAAATTATCTTTGCTACGGAGAGGGAACAAAATATAACAAAATCTAATTATATTTCAAACCATGTAGTCCATAGTGAATCTAATGTTTTGAGTTCCTTTCTTAGTTTAAATAGGTACATCTGGTATAATTAATCCACGAATTCTTACCTTGGTGAACACAGAAAAAGGATGCTGTCTGCTTCAGGTAAGTAGATCATTTGACCCTTGAGACGTAAGCAGCTGATCTCAGTCCCAGTCAGTTCATCCTCAGATTCTAACTTCTCAACATCCAACAATCCTTCCTGGAAAAGGCAAGTCATACCGATTAACCAATGTTTTTCCTCCTACCTAACACTTCAGAAAAGGACACACAGACTTTATTTTTCACCAAATCATAAGGGAGAAGTGTGCCAATTAGGGTGGGAGACCCCATTTCTCCAGAGTTCTGGCAGGTACTAAGTAAAATAGTTACCTTACTAATATACTCGAAAAATGGCTCTTTTCTTAGAACCTAGAAAGACAGTAGCTATGGCGTCTTTAACATCACGTGACGTTAAATATATCAGACATTTATTTAAAGCTCCTGTGACTCTTATTTCTGATTTTCCAGCGTGAGCACAACATACAATATCAGGGTATATCAAAAAAGAAAGCAAGGCTTTTCATTCCTCACACCTGCATTCACAGAGTAGCTAGCTGAACTAGCTGGTCCCAAACACATTCAGCTAGAGTAGGTAAGACCTGTGGGAGGATTTTAGGAAGGATGACCGGGGAATTCTAAGGCACTTTCCCACAAAATGGCATCAACAGTAGTAGACAATCTAAAGAAAGAACGTATCAGAATATATCAGTGGCTTTGGACTAAGCTTTACTGTCCCAACACAGGGAGCAGTCTTCACAACTACTTTTTAAAATTATGATCAGTTGATAAAGTTCCACTATCCCTCAGAAAAACCAAAAACTCAGTAGCATTTCCTTGGTAATGGAATTTAGCTTTGAGCTCTAACTCCCCCCGCCTGAATGCTGTAATAGCTAATTTTCCTTCTGGAATACTGCTAACTTGTTGCACAACTACTTATTCACATTTAGAGAAATAACATCTTGATTACCTTGCTTCTCAATACAAAAACTGTATTGATATGTGAAAGGATCCCATGGAAACTGATATCAATGTGAGGACGAACCAGAGAGAAGACAGACAAAAGGCTGCAATTTCCAGGCTGAAGCTGAAATGCAGATAAAAATAAATGGACATTTAAGTCAATTTTATTATTTGGTGCTATGAGTCTTACAAAGCTTAATAACGTTTAAAAGTTGATCATAATTATTCCATAAAACATCTAAAACTATGTATATCTTGACTTAGGCAGCTCAGTGATTAAATGGACATAACATTTTTCCATGCACAGAAATCCTAATAAGGATTCCAGTGACTAACATTCATATCTACTACTACGAATAATTTTTAAAGAAGAAAGAATGCATATTTATCTTTTAAAAATATTTCAAGGTGTCAAGTTCTTATGCTTAAAAATGAAACTTAAACAGCAGAACCACTAACAAGCATTTGAAGTTCATCAAGAGAAGGTTAATAATGATGATTCGTAATAGCTGTTGACGGCTTACAATGCGCCATCAGCTAAATGCTCCTCACCTGCTCTCCATCCTCACGTTACAACAAAGGGAAAATAAGCAGAGAGAGGTAAAGTAACACACTGCAGTTCACACAATGACTTGAAGGTCACACAAGGAGGGAGACTCGTAGCCAGTGTAGGAGTCAGTGTCTGCACTATAGGTTTATAATGGATCCCACTGGAGATCACATCTCTCTAATTGTGAGTAAAAGTATCTAGACACGTGTCATATATTAGCTCCAATAGTTAGTAGAGGAGGGGGGAAAACACGTAACAGGCCAAAGAAGATTTTACAAATGGGGCTAAATTACACAATTCAGATGTGGGTTCTCATCATCACCTCCCTGTGTCTTTTGATGCGTTCTCTACTGAACCACATGATAATCTTCATGATTTTCCTTTCCTGTTTCTTAATTTTCTCTCCTTTCGCTAAAGATGGCAATGACTGATTTTAAAGTTATAGTCTGTAATCATCCAATGAATGAGATTGCTCAAGAGATGAGTACACAAATGCAAGCTGATGGTTACTAGAAAGCTACATTTTTTTTCTCATGAAAATAAACATCACTTCTATCATTTTCCCACTCCCTGTAAGTGAGTAACACAGAAAAAAATAAGTAGGCACCCGCCGGAGTGCTAAGGTGTGTTCAAGGGCACTTAGCTCACATTTAAACAATTAGCGCGATCAGTGGGGTGTGCGATTGATACTCAGTCAAGGGTTAGAGAAAATGAGGTGCACTTACCTGGGGCAGCACCCTGTATATGGCATTGCCGCACTGAGTGACCACGAGGTCCCGGTCAAATATTATGTGAAAAGGAAAAGCTTTGCAAAAAGTGTATGGGCTGATACGTGACTCCTCGGTGCCATTTTCTTCAAACCTGTCAAGATCTTCATAAAAATCCTCTTCTTTGGATTCTTTTTCTTCAATTAAAAATTGAGTGTGATCACACTCTTCATTTCTTTGCTGAATAACCTGAGTGTTAACAAGAGGGGAAAAGCGCCTCTGTTTCATTTTATAGAAAATACCGGTCCTCCCTGGTGGCGCAGTGGGTTAAACCACTGCACTAAGAAGCTTAAGCCACTTCCGCATGAGTTTGATCCCTGCCTGCCCCGGAAGAGTCCACATGGCGCGCCAGACCTCGATCCTTATGGAGGTGGAATGGTAGAATTACATATTTTATAATACAAGCAAAGCCATTTTCTATCAACTGGCAATATCTAAAATTTTAATGAAAACAAAAAATGCCATCTCACACACCACTGATAGGGAGGGGCATTTTAGACTAATCCTTCTGAAGGACAGATGAAAGTGATGCATAAAAAGCCCTAAACAATATGTGTAAACTTTGACATAACTCTAAATCCAGAAATTCATTCTAAAGAAGTAAATAAATTGTGAGCATAGTGCTCGAGTTGAAGAAATAACCATGATTCTAAAATCTGATTGAGGGACCGATACATGAGTAGGCTGGAGCTTCAGAAAATGCTGGCTACAGTCCTCCCATACATGGGATCACAAGCTCAGCATCAGCCTGATCCAAAGTGAAGCACTTGGGGCAGTTGCCTCGTCAGTCACATGGAAAGAGAAGCAAATGTTGCCCATCCGCCCTTTTGTTCCAGCATCACCTGAGACTAAAGAACACGTCACAATGAACACGGGTGCTATTCATATATTCTTCCAGATACACTTTCATAGAGAAATCAGGACACTCCTATTATACGTGCGGATTAGAAATTAGAAAACTTTGCCCTTCAGGGCTGATTTCCTTATAGTCTCAGGAAAACACCAAAACAGTCAACCTTGAAATTTTGATGTTTTGTTCGATTTCCAATTTAGCTAGATGGATTGAATTATATGCACCTGCAATGTATTAATTAATTCTTTAATTCAACTCTTGCAATGATTAAATTTGCAAATAAACTTTTTTAACACATAATTTTAGCCTATTCTTTGGGTGTCATCTCATGATGTGGTATAATATCTCTCGTGAAGTTAAATTGTCTGTTAAATCTGGGCTTGCAACACCTGTAAGTTTGACATCAAAATACTTTTGGAAATGACAACTAGCTGTGGAAAAACTCAGATATACAAAATTTTATAAATGTAGATTTCAAAAATCTGCCCTGGCACATGTGAATAAATGAAATAATAATAAATGAATAAACCACAACATAAATATTATATAAGATGAGCCCTGTAATTGAGTAAAAACTTGAATTTCCTTTATTAATAGAATGTGCTTATGTTACCACCCCCCCAACCAAGTAAGGAGTAACCATAGCAACTGCAGTTTCTAATGGCGCCTTAATTTGCATTTCTTTCTTAAAGTTTTTATGTAACTCTTTTTGCTCAGCTTATTTAAACAAACAAACAAAAAAAAAAAAACAAGAATAGACAGTATACATACAGCTCTTGATACAGGTTCACTCAGAACAGATGTCATGTTAGTTTAGTGTAGATGGGAGAGGGATGGGACATTTTGATAACATTCTCAGGAGATTCATAATTGTGCATGAATTTCAGTTCTTGACTCAAAGTTTTAATTTTTAAATACCTCTGGGCTGTCAAGTCATGGGGAGCCTCATGTTCTGGACACTAGATGCACCTCAGTGTCACTGACAAGTACAAAAACAATAACAACAAAACAAACACAAGTCTGACACCAATTCCTCCCAACAAGGTGTAGATGAAGCACAAGCACGTGGTAGTACTTTCTGATACAACTCGCTTCAAGTCACCATTTTTATGTTGGATAATGCTGTGGCTAAAGTCTGGGACTCTCAAATAGTTTGAGCATACCAGTGAAAAGAAAGTATCGCCTGGTAAATTCCTCATGAGGAAAACGGAACTAAATCCACTGCTCCTCCCTCTTCCCAAATTTAGGGCCCACTGATAAATGGCTCTTGAAGCTGAATAAGCCGAGGGTGGAAAGAGCAGCTGACTGGTCAGGATGGTTCTCGGCCCTCCCTGGTGGCGCAGCGGATTAAAGCGCAGCACTAAGAAGCTAAAGCCACTTCCGCATGAGTTCGACCCCCGCCTGCCCTA